CAGACCTAGGGGCCTCCCTCCAGCCCCACTGCGGTTGACCATTTGATCCACACAGTGATGCGCTACTCCAGCCGCCGCTCAAGAAAGTCTTCTTTTAAATGTTGCAAATTACAGAGCAGCAAACATCCACCCATGCTCCTGTATAAACTCGCTTTTTAAATTTTCATTCAAATTATGTCCTGGGTAGAAATTCCCAGGTAGGGATTCCCGGGCTGGGGGTGGGATTTCTTTAAGCATCAACACGGTTCCTCCCGGTTCTTCTCAGACATCAAGACCTTTAGGTCCTGTTGAGGGGGAAAAAAAAATCTGAATTTTTGTGCCCTGATTCTTCTGCTGCTCTTCCACCTCTTAAATTGGGTTGGAATGTGATCTTTTCATCATGAAAATTTATTTTAATTTTAAAACACTTCTGCACCTTCTTCCCTCCGTGTTTTGTTTTTTTTTTTTTTTTTTTTCTTCCTCCATGTTTTATTAGCTCTGCTTCTTACCCGCATCGCCTCGGTCATAGAGACCTTTTTCTTCTCATTGGCGGGCCCTCCACAAGTTGACAACGCGCGGTTTCTCCACAGTGGACTTAAAAAGAAAGAAGGAAGAGGTGGGCGGGGTTTGCGCTGACTCTCGGTGCTTCAAGGGAATTGAGAACATAAATAAATAACAAAAATCAACAGGGTGTCATCTGGGTTCATCTGCATTAGCAGAAGCCGTTCCGCTTTTTTAAAAAAATAAAGACAAAAGTGTAACAGGCCCGGGTCCCCAAGTCTGGAGGTATGGAAGACCTCCTTTGAATTGGTTTACRGCAGATTTTGGTGAACTTTGGACTTCCCTGGAATTTTCACGAGGCTAAAATCATAACTGAACAAGTCCTTGGTGCATATCCCGCCTCTGGGGCATTGCGCCTTTCTCCTCCTTTCTCTGGAATGATTCGAGAATCCTGACCAAAGGTGTCAAGGTCATAAGTGCCTACCAACGTCAGACCGACTGTTTGCTCTCTTTTGAGCTAAGCAGGGAGATTGGAAACTTGGATCTTTTATGTAAACCAACCACTTCAAAATAAAACTTATCTCCAGGCCAAATATGCCTTTCAGCCACAGAACTTTTCCCCAAATCAGTATTATACTGGGAAATGCATTTTTTTAAATGTTCTGGGAAATACATTTTGTATCTTTTTGTGTGTGTGTACACCATACCTCTATTTTATTTATTTATTGTTATGTGGWGCTGAAGATCGAACTCAGAGCCTTGCACATGCTAGGGGAGCGCTCTACAGCTGAGCCATAGCCCCGGGAAGTGCATTTTTTAAACGTTCTCTCCTCTCTCAACCTTCTGACTTGCTGTCTCATCTTCACAGATGATACAGAAGTCACCAAGTTTGCCTTGACTTCTGCTACCAAAAAAGTCACCCACACTTGCGCCATCCTGCCTTCTTTGCCATCTGCTCAGCAAAGCTTYCTAGAAGGAGCCCTGTTCCTCCTGCCCCGGGGCCTTTGCATGTGCTTTCACTCTGCCCAGAAGGCTCTCTGCCCCACCCCACTCCTTCCCAGTCTCAGGTTCTCAAGGCTGTCTCAAACCTCTCCTTAACTGTGTACCTCTCCTTTAGGTTACTCTGTATCTTTGTTTATTTTCTGTCCCCCCAACAAGCAAGCAGGGCCAATGTCTGTGATCCTCCACAGTGATTGCTACTCAAACAGTGAGTATAATCTGCACAGTCAAGATAAGGAGCCGCCTTGGAGGGGCTGGAGGGCCACCTCAAGCTGCAGAGCRGTGCCCTTGGGGAGAAGTCCTGTAAGTGATGAAGTGGAAAGGGAGCATTAGCGCCATGGGAGGYGGTAGCTGCCTGGAGAGACCACATCCAGCCAGGCCTGTGGACCGCCCTCGAGATATGGGTCACCCTCTCCTGTCCACCACCATCTCCTGGGCAAAACCTCTGCCAGCTCTTTGGTGACCATTCAAAAGTCATCCAATCATGTCCCTTCCGCTGTGGCTCTACAAAAGCACCCCCAACTGCYTAACAATCTAAATAAGGCTGTACCGCCACCCTGCTCAGAGCTCAGCTCCACTCACCTTCCCAGCCAAGAGGGCCCGTCCCTCCTGGTCTGGGCAGCCCCAGGCCACCCGGCCCTGACTGCCCCTCCCCACCCTCTGTCCCAGCCGCMCTGGCTACCTRGAGGAACCTCAGACTGGCCAAGCTCGTCCCCACTCTGGGCTGGTTCCCTCCACGGAGAAAAGGCTTCCCCAGGTCCCCCATGCTGTCCCCTCTCCCACCAGGCCGGGAGGCACAGGATCACTGCGGGAAGAGCGGGTGGATCACTATGACTCACTGTCAAGGGAAGAAACTGGGGTACAGTGGTGGGAAGCAGAATGTTCCCCTGGGAGGTCTGTCTGGCCCACGGTGGCATGGCTGGTGCGGCTTCCAGACTCACCTTGGCCTCTGGCAGTGACTGAGAGCTACTCGCGGCTCAGCAGACACAGGAAATGACAAAAAGGGCCACCAAAGTGACTGTCTGCCATGATCCGATGATGGGGCACTGTGTAGTTCCCAGGAGCTCTTTAAGAATCCCTGATTCACTACCTCGCCTCACACTTATTAAGCACACACGAACGGGCAAGGCAGGCGTGGAAGAAGCAACAACCACCAGAACCTAGGTTGGCCTGCGGATGGGCCGAGCCCTGGAAAGCAGTCGGTGGTGAGATGGGACTTTCAGTTCCAATTTTCTGCTCCCCGCCAAGTCCTGGCATTGGTAAAATATGACAATGAAAAACGAAAAGAGGTGGGGTAGGAAAATGACCATGATAATATCTGTTACTTGTTTCCTCTCCCTGGTGACTGGTCCTGCTGGGTGCAGGACCATCAGCTGGARCTTCATTTCCCAGCCTCCCTTGCAACTTCAGGGTGATCTGGCCAGGTTCTGGCAGGGTGAGGAGCAGTAAGCTGTGCAGCCTCCTGGGAGGGTCTGAAATCTTRAGCATGATCCCCTTTAGTTACTTTCTCTCCTCCTCCAGGGCTGCTTAATGGGGACCTACCCTCAATCACTGACAGGGAACAGGAGCTTCCTGGCCAGCCCACACCCTCCAGCTGTTACAGGAAGTGGAGAATAAATGGCTATCTCAGTTGGGATTGCATTCAGGGCCCTCAGGRATGTCAGCATTGCCTTTAACACAAGTGCCAGGGGGGAAAGCTTGTCCCAGGTGCTGACATTTGAATTGTGCCTTCAAGGAACAATTGAACTTCTCCTGGGGAAAGGGGGAGAGTTGCAAATCCCCGGGAAAGGCCGGAAGCTCCCGGCTTATCCTGACCTGCAGGTTCTTGGACTCTCCTGGTGGTCACGTGCCCAGATTCCTGGCTCACACCACCCCTACCCAACACCTCCACTCAGACCCTGTGGATCTGAACCCACAGGGCAGGAGCCACGGAAGAGAACATTTTATTTAGTGCCCCCATCATCCTCATGACCAGCAAGTCTGCTAAATGCTGGGTGGGACCCTCTGACTGTTGATGGAAGATACAGGATCAGAGCTGGGAACACCAGATTGAGCTAAAAGTAAAWAGCTTTGGAATTGGACTGTGACACTGGTAAAGTCGCCTTAACAGCAATGGGCTGCTGCTTCTTTTCTTTGGGGAGACAGATGACACAAATTCTTTTAAAATTTCAACAAAAGGTATAAYCTTTTTTCCAGAAAGTGCTCCCCTGCCCCCGCATTTGAATACATTTCAAGGGTCCCRATCATCTGTTCTCTGGAGCCCAGGGGGAGGCACCCCAGGGCAGCGATTTCAACGCAGCAGGATCTGCTCYGGTCAGAGGAGACCCTCATGAAAGCAAGAGGACTGAATGGGCCAACCAGGCTCCAGGGAGCAAGTTCTCCAGGGARCAAGGAGCCACTCTCAAATGAAGACGGAAGCCCAAACTGGGTAGAGCTCAAGGCCGAGGAAGAGGTGGGTGGGGTACAGGTCAAGTGACCAATGAAGGGGACAGAATTCAAGGCTGAGGGAGGTGTCCTGCTCCTTCAGAGGTTTCAGGTTGTGTTTGGGGCGGGGTGTGCAGGGACGAGGCGTTCAGTTCTTTGAGTGGTGAGTTCATARCGGCAAGTGAAAGCACCTTGAGGAATTCCGGTGCTAGTTCCTGAAAAGCCTCCGAAACCCAGGTGGGGTTGGAGCTTGTCCAGGTGCAGGACAGTGGGTGGCAGGCCTCCTCCAGGGAGAGGCCGAAAAGAGACGGGAAGCAAGACCTGACGGAACCCACCTCAGAGGAGCAAAGAGGAGCCCTTGAAAGAGGAGAACGGAAAAGAGAGACAGAGTCAGCAGCACCAGGAGCAGAAGGTCAAGCCAAAGAGCCCAGAGAGGTCATTGAATGGGGCACCTCAGGGAAATCTCTAAAAGAGCCTTTTCCTGACTCTGCAATGCATACCTGTGTTAGTAAAAACACAACTGAGGAGTCAGGAATATGAGCATCACATCTGCAATTCTTGTGTATACAGCCACCCCTCTGTATCCACGGGGACTGGTTCTGGGACCCCCTCCACCTGACGAACAACTTGTGTAGTTTGATGCAGCAGGAATGGAAGCCCTTTATTGTAGGACAGGAGGGGTATTTATACATTCCACACAGCTTATCTTAGTTAGCATAAACTAGATACATCAGTCAACCAATAAGAAATCTCCACACTTAATGGCTCACTGGCCTTACTTCACAAACCACTCCCTCTGGCAAAATGCCAGGCGCCATCCAGACTTGTTTACAGACTTTAACATTTCCCCCTTTTGTTTAATTTAAGTAACGACCATAGTGGTTTTTACACAAACACCATAAATAACCTGCTACAAACAGAAGGGGAGGATACAAAATGTCACAATACCAAGCCACTTGATGGCTCCATGCAAGAAGCCCTTGGAAAAATTATACCAGCAATGACACCGTTAGCAAAGATACCGAGTTACAATTTGTTGTAGATTACAGTTTGTTGTTTCAGTCMAGGTAAAGCAGTATCTCAATAGATTTACTTACAGTCCAGGTAAATCACAGTCCAGGTAAGTTCTGCAGGCAGCTAGCTTGATCCAAAGTCTCATCCGGTTCTCAGCCGAAGTTTCATCCGGTTTTCAGCAACACTGGAAATTCTTCCACCCTTATCCTCATTGGCACTGGGATGAAGGCAGGAACTCCGGATGGCTAAAGAAAATCCTGTAGCATTCTACTAAGAAAATAACCGTCTGAACAGTTTAGTACATTATCTCAAGGTTTTTTACATTTGAAACAGGCCTTAATGGCACTCATTACTCATTAGCTTTCAGGTGTGGGAGAACCACTGTAGTTATTGACATTGGAAATGATCAAACTTTAGGGACTTGGGCCATCTTCCACCTGCAGCATCCTGTCCCGGGTAGCCCCAGATGGCCCAGGAGAGAGTCCGGGAGTGTTCCGGACTCAAACTGCCACTGGGCACAGGGAGCAAGAGCCTGCGAGACTGTGCCTCCAGGTCAGGTCTGGATTTGGGCTCTCGGCAGTGGAAGAGCCGGCTGTGCCCTTTGGAAAGTCCTTGCTGCGCCTTGACCGGCTTGCACTTGGCAGCCGCTTCGGCGCCGATTCATGCACCCTCCGGTAACAAAAAGTATTCAGTAATAGCCTTTTGCTGCAACTTTTTTCCTGATAATCCTTCTTCTTCTGAACTTTCTTTTTCTTTCTGACTAGAGTTCCTGGGCTTYYATCAAYACATGCCCTAACTRYYCTTKGTTCCAHTGGGGTKCCTYCTTCCCTTAGTAATTTACTTCTCACCCCTTCCATATTTTCGTCACAAAGACAATACAATACACAGAGACAAAACAAAACACAAACATACTGTATCAATCCTCTCCATTTTCTCAAAATGGCCATTTCCTCTCACCCTGTCTGCCTAGGGACGAGCAGATTTGCTCCCGTCCTATCTATGGACGGGCAGCTTTTTTCGCCACTTACCCCCGAGTGCCCTGCCGCTCCCCGTACGGGCCAGCATCGAGACATCCAGACTTGTTTACAGAACTTAACAGAAGATACCAAAGCCTGAGATGCTCAAGCCATTTGCATAAAGTGGTGTAGGAGGTGCACAAACCTACACAATCCTCCTGCACACTTTAAACCTTCAGACGGCCTCTCAGACATTATACAGGTGAATGTTGCTTATACCTTGGTCCACCTGTATTGGTTAGGGAATAATGACATGCACATTTAGTAGAGATGAAATCTTTTYCCTGAATATCTTGTATCTGCAGGTGTCTGAATCCACAGCAGASTCCATGGATGCCCACCCATTTGGATACAGTTAGAGTGGCAAAGGCAGTATGGCATATGCTCTTGGGAGGAGAAAAAGCACAAAGGTCCTGACAGCGTTCTTTTTTTTTGGGGGGGAGGGGTTCTGGGATTGAACCCAGGGTGGCTTTGCCACTGAGCTCCATTCCAGCCCTTTTTATTCTTTTATTTTGAGATAGCATCTCATTTGGTTGCTTAGGACCTCCCTAAAGTCCTGAGGCTGGTCTCAAACTTGCACTTCTCTGTGTTCTTGGTTTAAATTTTAAGTTTGAAATGATGTAAATGCAAAAATCCCCCACTTTTAAAAAGACTASGTTGAGGAGAGTGGCAAGGACCGAGCCCTACAGTGGTGGGGCAACCTGGAGGCCCACGCTTTGCAGAAGTTGGAGGGCGAAGAGGAGGAAGAGGCAGGCGGGGATAACATGAGGGAGGGGATACTTGTAGAGATACCTGGAGGAGTGGGTGCTTGGTTGGACGTGCTTGGGGGCAGAAACGACTGTCCCTGGGAGGAAAGGCAGCGAAAGAGAGGGTAAGAAGTGGGAGGGAGGAGATAGGGATATAGCTCAGTTGGTAGAGTGCCTGCCCCACAGCAAGGCCCTGGGCTCAATCCCCAGCACCACACACACACACACACACACACACACACACACACAAAACAAGCCGGAGGGGAAGGCCAAGCAGAGGTGAGCCTTGCAGTGAAAGGGGGGATGCTCTCTGGAGTGAAGGCAAAGGAGGTGGGAAGGAGGGACATTTACTCCTTGCTGAGAAGGGGCTCCAGCAGAGGCTGCTCTGGCTGCTGGACCCCAGCCACAGGAACCCATTGCCTTTTTTTTTTTWAATTTTAATATTTATTTATTTATTTTTTATTCTTGGCGGACACAACATCTTTGTTGGTATGTGGTGCTGAGGATCGAACCCGGGCCGCACGCATGCCAGGCGAGCGCGCTACCGCTGAGCCACATCCCCAGCCCCCCCATTGCCTTTTTAAGGTGCCCGTCGGGTGGTGAGTCAGGACGGCTGGAGCTCAGCGAGCACTGCCCCGCCCCGAGCGCCCCGCCCACAGTGCGCCCCACCCACGCCCGCTGCCCCGCCCCGAGCACCACGCCCACGCCCGCTGCCACGCCCCAGCACCACGCCCACGCTGGGCCACGCCCACGCCCGCTGCCCACACCGGGCCACGCCCACACCGGGCCACGCCCCGAGCACCACGCCCACGCCGGGCCACGCCCACGCCGGACCCCGAGGCGAGACGGCAGGGAGGCGCGGGCGCAGGAAGTGGGCTTTGCGTCCTTTCCGCTGAGCCAGGCGTCTTCCCGCGTTTATCAAAGTTATTTTTACGCGTTGGGAAGTTTTCAAGTGAGCACTTGTGCGGTGGCACCTCCTTCCTGTCGCGCGGGTGCCTTGAGGACATTTACAGGCCTATTTATAGCCGCGTTTATTTTTACTCGGGACTTGCGCCTTCGCCTGCGCTAGACCGCGCCGGGCGGCTGGGGCTGAGCCCGCGGTCCGCCCTGGGGAAGGGCGCGGAGGCCAGGGGCAGAAAAACGGGGCTGTGGCCACCGTCCTCTCCCGCAGTGCCTTTTGGTGGCAGCAGAACCTGCTGCTCTTGTGCCCCTGCTCCAGCTGCAAAACCCCAGTATGGGGGACCAGGGTGAGACGAGGGGGCGCGAAACCCCGAGYGATCTCGATAAGGTACATTTTAGTGTAATGTTTTTTAAAATTAAGATTAATGCAAACAACTCATTCTGAACACAATATCAAAAATTTGCATGAGACACATGGGTGACAGAGAAGGCAAGCAGCCGGTTAATTGCCGTCCCCATCAGACCCCACCGCTACCCAGGCCCAGGCCGGAAGGGCCAGTGGGTGGTGTCCGTTATTGAGGGCATAGCTTAGAAAAATAGGTTCACCTGGGATTGACCTAGACTGCCCTTGCCTTGCCCTTTGATGGACAGGAGGGGACCCCGGGTCCTGACACCAGGTCTGGGCAGCTGAGACATTTGGGGCTGTCAAAAATTAGTGGTGGAAAGGATTTTAACCCATCCCCAAGAATTTGCAGTTTAGAGCTGGGGGTGCAGCGCCGTGGTACAGCACTTGCCTAGCCATGTGCAAAGCCCTAGTTTCCAAACCCAGCACTGCAAAAAAAAAAAAAAGAGAGAGAGAGAAATTTAAAATTGCAGTTTAGACACATTGACACACACCACACACCGTGCCTTGCCCCTTCTGCCCTATTTCCCAACGGCTCCTGTCTAGCTGTGGTTCCTACCACCATTTTCAAGAAAGACACTTGGGATTTACAGACAATGGAAGTCTAGAATCCGGGCCTTAGAGTTCCCCCTCTGTGGGCAGAGTCGCGACGGTAGACTTTGGTGGAAAAGCATGATTCAGATTTTGACTCACCCTTAAGGTCAGGCAGAGACATGGCCTTCGACTTGTCTCTTCGGGTCTCAGTGCCGTGACATGGAATTCCACTTCAGAGAGACAGCCTGTGGCATTGAGAAGGACTTGGAGCAACCCCAGGAGGGCCCATGAGGGACCACTCCCTCTCTTCCAACTGTGGCATTTGGTGGGACTTCTCTCTGCCTCAGAAGCCTTTTGTGTGTGTGTGTGTGTGTGTGTGTGTGTGTGTGTGTGAGTGTGTGTGTGTGTGAGTGTGTGTGCACACACACTGACTCTCCCCTAGCCGCGTGTATTAGCCACAGTGAGTTACACAAGTCTCCAGAGGTTGCCCAGAGAGGGCAGAGCTCCCAGTCCTAGAAGACAATTCTGGCAAAACCCCTGGATTCGTGTTTGAGTGTTCATTGCTCTGGCCATGTGTCTGGCCTGCTTGGACCTGATGGAGCCTGTGAGGGTCATTTTGGGGACTCTCGGCCGCAAGGCACAACTCAAGACTGAGTACACCCATCTTGGTTTTTTACATTTGCCAGAGTGGCTCAATGCTGTCTGTCCTGTGAGTCGGGGCCTTTTGAACTTATTTTCCAGTTATTCCGAGAGTCCACGGTGGGCGCCTGGCACGCCTCTTTCTGCTCTGTGCTGAAACACCCCCTTGCTAGCAGGATCCCTCAAAAGAAAGGAACTGAGTATGACACCCCTCTGTCTGGTTTTCCTTTCACCCTTTCTGGAAAATGGGTCTGTGGAGGGGGGTGGATCACCAGCCATAATAAAAGATTCTCAGCCTAGGGTGGCAGGCTGGGCTCTGCCACTTCATGAGCACCCGAGGGCACCCTGTGTGTGTTTGTTAGTGGTTGAAGCGTGGACCTATCAGGAGGACAGGTGGAGAGGCGTTGAAAGAGAGGGTTGGCAGAAAGGACTCACTGTCAGGAGGACCAAGAGCTCCCAGCCAGGCCCCACTCAGCCTGGACACCGCCTCTGCCTGGGAAYCCGGGACCTGCCCACCTGCTGCAAGCAGCCAGCCTCAGGTGGTCAGTCCCCTCCTCCGTCCCTCCTGCCCTGGAGGAGGAGCAGGGCCACCCTTGCTGAGAGCTRCCTCCTTGTGCTGGCCCTGGGCGTCATCCTGAAGAGTGGGCAAGGTGGACTCCTGCAGAACCTGGACTCCACCTGGGCTGCTTAGAACAAYGCTTCCTCCTCTTGGTGTTGTTCCTTTATGTTTTATTAATGTAGAGTGTTCCTCGTTGAGCAGCAGTAATGTCATAAAACTCTTCAAAAGGCAAAAGGGCTTTCAGAGGGACAGCAGGTCTGCSCTCTACCTGCCTACTGCAAGGATCTCTGTGGTTTCAGCCTCATTTGCTCAGGTGGGTAATGAAGTTAATTCCACGTTATTGCYTTTACACTTCAGGAGATGGGGTGGGTCTGCTCGAGAGGCCGTGCTGCAGACACTGGGCTTTTTGAAGGAGGCGTTCCAAACCAGCTCCCTCCTGGTGTCCTAGACCAGTGAGTGTTGGGGCTGCAGGAAGGGGCCAGGCCTGGGGCCACGCTTGCGGCCCACGCTTCACTTCTGTGACTGCGTCTTATGCAGCCTTCAAGGGCGGAGGCCTGGGTGTGGGGTGAGAGCCAGTCAGGGGCCCTGGGACCGAGTCCCCAGACAGGCTGTGGAGGCTGGGGTGGGCGGGAAAGCCCCTCAAGGGCAGGGAGCCTCATGTCCTCCATCAGAGCTTTTTGGGCAACCTGGAAATGAGCGATTCTTCCTCTTCCATGATTTACCACCTTCCCCGATAATGACAGCCACATGATTTATTTATACACGTACAAATCACCATGGATCTCAACCTTGCTAGTTTGAAGTGGGGAATAATTTACCTTTCTGTGGTATAAGGGGTTTCAAGGAGCAAGAAAGATCGGAGGGAAGCATTTAATCTACAGAAGAGAAAAGCATGTTTGTGGGGATTTCAGAAGCCCTCGCCRGTACATCAGCAGTGACCCAAGGGGCCTTTCC